TTGTTGTTAAAGAAGTCAGAAAAGTGCATATTCCAAAGAGAGGCAAGAATAAAAAGTAAAAAAAAAAGGAAATTCCTAAAAATTGTTTAAAAGAATTCAGAAACGTGTTTATTCCAAAAGGAAACAGTGAGGAAATTCCTGAAAGTTATTAAAGAAGTCAGAAACGTAATTATTCCAAAGAACTGGATACATGTTTTACCATAGTTAATATCTCGTTATATAAGCGTTTCTGTTAAATTGTATTTTACATAGCAAATGAAAGTTTCATATTGTCGCTGTACATTTTATTACACACGTGTTTGATGGTACGCTATTGTAACGAATTTGTTGTTATGTATTTATTTTCAAATGAACGTTGTTTATATTAAGTTTATATATAGAAACATACATGGCTTATACTGTTAGATATGTACTGCGAAACTCCCGCCTATTCTCCAAAGTCGTAGAAGATTATCGAGAGTAAGAATCAACAATATATGAATATACGTAAACGTTTAAAATGTAACTTGCATTGTTACGTAAGACTGAAATTTCTAGAACGCCTCCACACAGGTATAAATATAACCAACGCGACGCGCCAAAAAGAGAGTGCCTATTATTAGTTCGCTATGATCGGTGTGCTATAAAACTTCAAAAGCTATAACTGTGATTTTGCTAACCCTTATCAACCGGAAAGTACAGACATTTGACCAGGAACGGTTACAAATTTCGAACGTCAGTGGATTCTCATCGGACGTTAGTATATTTCCGAAAGTATTACTTAATTCTCATCGGACATTAGTGGTTTTACGAAAATGTTATCTTACGTCGACGGTCCAACAATTCGGTGTCTGACAAAGCTAGTTAGCTTCTCGGCAATTGTACGTACATCGACTTCAAGTTAATTCGCTGGATATCAAGGAGACTCTGAACTAGAAAGAAGATTCTATGTTGTTTGTAAGTTAGTGAAATTATTGTTTATAAAACTTTGTTTGTGGTAATTATTCGTAATAATTGTTGTTGTAAATTATACTGTTATATATATTAAAACGTAATTGTATTAAAAAAAGTAAACTGTGTGTATCAATCTTGTTGGCAAATATTACAAACTGACTATATATCGTCATTTATTTAAATACTAAATCCAAAGTACAATTTAACTACTAAATTTAAATTATTTAACTCGGCTTCGGACTATTTGAAATTCTAATACGTAACACCATTATTTTGTGACTAAATCTTATTATTACAACCATTTTCACAAAACAACCATTGTAAATATGCATTATTCATAATTGGAGATTAACACTTGAATTTTTAACATATCATTAAAAGTGTGAAGAAAAATATTTGTTTTTCCAAGCATTGTTTGTTTTTTAATTTCGTGCAAACCTACACGAGGGCTATCTGCGCTAGCCGTCCCTAATTTAGTAATGTAAGACTAGTGGGAAGGTAGCTAGTCATCACCACCCACCGCCAACTCTTGGGCTACTCTTTTACCAACGAATAGTGGGATTGATCGTCACATTATAACGCCCCCACGGCTGAAAGGTCGAGCATGTTTGGTGTTACGGGGATTCGAACCCAGTCGAATTGCCAGTCGAGCGCCCTAACCACCTGGCCATGCCGGGTAACTTGTTTGTTTGTTTTAAGTTATGGACAAAGCTACACGATGGGCTATCTGTGCTCTGCCAACCACGGGTATTGAAACCCGGATTCTAGCGTTGTAAGTCCTCAGACATACCGCTGTGCTACTGGGGGGGCTCAAATACAGACAGAAAATATAATGACATGGTAATCGTAATTAATGCCATTACCCATTAATGTTATTAAATAAACTCTACGGTTTATAAGACTGAATGCTATTACCCATTAATGTCATTAAATAAACTCTACGGTTTATAAAACTGAATGCCATTACCCATTAATGTCAATAAATAAACTCTACGGTTTATAAGACTGAATGCCATTACCCATTAATGTCATTAAATAAACTCTACGGTTTATAAAACTGAATGGATATAGACAGAAAATATAATGACATGGTAATCGTAATTAATGCCATTACCCATTAATGTCAATAAATAAACTCTACGGTTTATAAGACTGAATGGATATATGAGTTTGAAAAGTTGTTTAGATAATTAACACATACACCAAAGTGAGCTATAACCAGAAAGAAACATACTCTCTTCTGGTAGTGAAACATGAACACAAAAATAAGGGCTTATCTATAGTCAAGGATGTTTGACTTTGACTTATTCCTTTCACTTGTTTTGATAAAGGAAATTGAAATTAATTAAAGACGTGAGGTAGCGCTGTTGCAGCTATTGAAATGGCTAGTTGGAGGGTATAGATATGCTAAATTATTTTCTTCATCGGTTACTGGGATTAGTAGGTGTTAATTATTGTGTTAAAAATTGAAATAACACAAACGTATTGGTTAAATGATGATCAGTTTTGTTGTTTGATATGAAATGAAATATTCTAAATTCTGTTTCCTTCACCCCTGGTGGTTAGGGGGCGCTTTACTCGCAATCTGAGGGTTGCGGGTTCGAATCCCCGTCACACCAAACATGCTCGCCCTTTCAACCATGGGGGTTATAATGTGACGGTTAATTCCACTATTCGTTGATAAAATGGTAGCCCAAGAGTTGGCGGTGGGTGGTGATGATTAGCTGCCATCCCTCTAGTCTTTCACTGCTAAATTAAGGACGTCTAGCGCAGATAGCTCTCGTGTAGTTTTGCGCGAAATTCAAAACAAAACAAACCTTCACACGTAATGGCTAACGGGATCAGACTGTGAATTTGAGGGTTCATGGTCCGTGGAAAAAAAAAATATTTAGCGCTTTGGGGCCGTGGATGTGTTATAAGAGTGATGGCTGAACCCAAATACCGGGCTCCGAGTAGTAACCGAAGAGTCGGCGGTGAGTACTGTTAACAAGCTGTTTTCATTCTAGTCTATAAGTTAAAAATTGACGTAAATAGTGTTAGTGTAGTTTTTAGCAAAACTATAAAAGAAATAAGCTTATGCTCCAATGGATTATGTAAAAAAAAAGTTAAATTCCTGAACGTTCTTAAAAAGTGGGAGAGTTATTTATTCTTCAAACAATACAACCTCGTTAGGGTATACAAACTAAATATAACATAGAAAAATAAGCTTTTTTACTGCCATACTTAGAAATAAACAATTCTACCAGTGCTAAGCTTATTTTTATATTCAATGTTAAAAACAAAAAAGACACAAGTTTTAATATCTTATTGCTTATTTGAAATTTTAACTGGTAATATTTGGGTAACTCCCTTTCTTCATACTGGTAGAGAATGCTTAATCCCACTGCAATGCCCTAGGGAAGATCTAGAAGGGATATAAAACTTGTAAAGAAACTTGTATTTAAATAACAATAAAAATATGTAACTTCATGCGCCTAACGGTAAATATCGTAGTGTGGAAAATGAAATAGTTTTAGCACGCGTGGTTCTATAATTATTTTATTTGGGAGGTGGAGAACTGTAAGATTACTTCGTCATATTAATCTAACTATAGGCTGTTATCCAACTGGTTATCTCCAAATCGATCTGATACGTGTAGACGATAGATCGTGGAATAACTAAGAATTAGGTAAGAAGCAATTGAGCCAACTGTCCACAGAACATAAGTTTTAATAACATTCCACACGTGTTGCTATAATAGTGTGAATTAGAATGTTAATAGTAGTTGGATGTGTCCCACAAAACAGCTTGGCCACCGTAAACGAGAAGATGTCTTACGATAAACCCGGAAACCGCATGCGATTGTGCCGTAAAAAAACAAACACAGTTCTGAGGAGCAGTTGATGAATACAAAATAACGCACGTTTCTGTTCCTAAACCTTCCCGCTCCCTCTCTGCGGCACAGACACGCGAAAGTTTTCTGGCCAGATATAATGTAGATTGCACGTTGTTTATAAATTATTTGGTTGTCCAATGAACTGGGAAAATTCGTGTTAAACTGTACTATCTTATTTTCTTAGCAAAAGCTACATTGGGCTAGCTGCTGTGTCCATCGCAGAGAATCGAATCGTGCCTTCTACCGTTGTATGTCCGTAAACGTACCGCTGTCTCACTGGAAGACAATACTTTATTTAAGATTAATGTTCGTATTCAGAAATTACATTCTATTTGTCTAGCAAATACAGACTACGTTTGTGGAGATAATACGTCGGTAATGAGACATAACACGGTTTTACACTTGTGTTAGGGCCGGGCGTGACTCATTAGTCAGTGTGCCGGACTGTGAGTCTAAACGTTCATATTTCGCGCCCCGTTGCTAAAAATTTGCGTTCCGTACTTTGAAACCCTGGGTGCGTTATAAGAGCGACGGTCAAATCCCACTATTCGATTCGACGAGTCTAAGAAAATTTGATTGGCTAGCTGTAATCCTTCTAGCCTATCGAACATAATCCTAGTTAATCTCTGCTCGTAAGTAAGAAAAAAAAAACAACAACAGTAAAAACACTTGGGTTATGATAATTTTAATATACAGATCATGGTATTTTATCACTCACTACATATTCCTTGGAAAAAAAAACAAAACATTTTTATATTTTATACTTTCTTAGATTCTTTAAAGATTTCGGAAGAAAGGTAAGGTGTATCTTCTGGGTTAAACTTCCAGGTTATCAGGTTACTTGTTTTATCCTGCGTGATTTTCTTACTTTCAAAGATGTAAATTCTTATGTATCTTTTATTTCGTTTTTTAAATTAATAATACTTGTATTATTTTTTCACTTTTTTAAATCTAGGTGAATGGTTTATAATTATAAATATTTATATACACGAAATAACTTTCCTTATCTTCAAAATGATCAGTTACTTACTCGATAATTAGACTCAAATTGTTAACTACGTTAACATTCTGTATATCTCTAAATAACTTTCCTTATCTTCAAAATGATCAGTTACTTACTCGATAATTAGACTCAAATTGTTAACTACGTTAACATTCTGTATATCTCTAAAGTGTTGTTTTTAAATATTAGAGAGTAGAGACTGTAGGAAGCCAACATCGAGTAGCGAGGACTGTAGGAAGCCAACACAGAGTAGCGAGGACTGTAGGAAGCCAACACAGAGTAGCGAGGACTGTAGGAAGCCAACACAGAGTAGCGAGGACTGTAGGAAGCCAACACAGAATAGCGAGGACTGTAGGAAGCCAACACGGAGTAGCGAGGACTGTAGGAAGCCAACACGGAGTAGCGAGGACTGTAGGAAGCCAACACAGAGTAGCGAGGACTGTAGGAAGCCAACACAGAGTAGCGAGGACTGTAGGAAGCCAACACAGAATAGCGAGG